AATACATCAGGCCCAAAACAATCAGAATGAGCCAAAGTGCCCAATCACCATTTTAATGAAATCAGAGGACAGCCTCCAGATGTCAGGCTCTGCTCTTATAACATTTGCTAACATTCTGTTTACTGGAAATTCTGAGTTATATGGTATAAACTAATTTGGGTCTTGAATGGAAGGTGGTTTTTAAATAAATAAACAAACAGAAAAATCAATAAATAGGAACATAGGTATTTTGTCTCTAGAGAGATTTCCATTTATCTCCAAATGTTTACTAAGATTCAGATTTCACTTTGTGAAGATGCTAAAGGTAAAAGCCAGCAAGGAGGAAAGGAATGGTTTTGACTGAGACTGCACCTACACTACAGAAGTTTGACATCACTTTAACTGCCATGCCTCATGTTTGACTACCATGCCTCAGTGTTCTATAGTGTAAAAAATCACATCATGGGGTAGCTTCAAACTGTATTTTAAATTGTTTTGAATTTATTTTGCAGTTCATATAAGCTCATTAAATATACATAAATAAAGTAAAAAGTATAAGTGAAAACATCAAATAGTTTTTAAGGCTAATTTTTAGGTAATTTTTTAAAGGTTAATTTTAAAATACTTTAATGCAGGGTATCTTTTTACAGATGTTAGTAATCAGACTGTGCCCAGTCATTATTTCAAAAAACTTTCTCATATCTTCCTCAAATATTTTAATAAATATTTCTCAGGAATTTTCCTGAAGAGCCTTTTTTTAAAAAAGCATGTCATATCTTTGATGTTATTTTCCTCTGTGATATGTGTGTGTTCATTGCAAAGACATTAGAGAGTGAATCCTCCCTTTCCCCAGCTATGAAAAACAAGTGATTCATTTGATTTGGTTCATTCTTTTTATGTTTTATTAATCATATTATTATTATAGTATTATTCTGCTATCTATCAATCTGTGTCTTGCTTCACTTTTTTCCTCATGTAGAACCTAATGTGAGGAAAACAGCTTAATCCAACATGCCTTTTTCACATTTATGAATGTGGAGGATTTTTTAAAATAAAAATAAATCTAAATTAATTTTGGTTCCATTATCCTTCTGTTCCCCCTTCTGTCCTAATTTCAGTCAGTCTCTTTTTCATCTATGTTATTATGATCAGTGTTACTTTTGGTGCTACTGTTATTCTTCCACTTGAAAGTGGCCATCCAGATAACCTATTTGTAGCATAGTAGTCAGAAACTACTGTTATATATCAGTTAAAAGTGGCTTGCCTAGCTTTTCACATTACAATAAGATTTGCAAAATGGAGATTTCTGCAGGGGAAAGGACTTGGCCACGTGTTAAGTGTCTCACATGTCAACCCTGAGAAGGTGTCATTTGACGTTATCCTTTAAATAGCTGTATCAAACATTGCAAATGAAAATCAGCAGGGACAAACTACACATGCATGAAATCTGTGATCAGATCTCTTGACAATTTTTTGTATACTAAAAAGTACTCACTGGGAGTGCTGAGTTGTTTCAGAGTAGCAGTATGGATGGGGGAAGGGTGTAAATGGTGCTGTTTACGCTGCTAAATCCCACCAGCTGCTGTTTGTCCCTGTGAGGGGGAAAATACATCCGTTCCTTAACTACACCTCTAGACCATTTCAAGTAACAGGGGCACAGCTGCTTTTATGAGGAAATAAATGTATCAGGTTTTCCAGGCCTAAGTTTCTTGCACACCATGTGCCTCGATTTGCCACATTTACTGCTTTTCAAAGGACATACCACTTTTTGAAGGCCAACAGAGGACATTTCTTAATATGAAGGAATCCTCTTTTGAAGAACAGATCCAAGGAACAATTTAAAGAAAAACAACCTTAAGAAAAGAAAGCAGGGTCCTTAAAATTACCCATTGCCATTTATGATCTGGACAACAGCAGACTGAGGGTGTATCTCCACTGTGGAAATAATCCAGTTTGACACCACTGTAGCTCCATCCTATAGAATCCTAGGATTGTCTGCCAAACAGTGCTAGTGCTTCACAAAAGTACAAATCCCAGGATTCTGTAGGATGGAGCCCTGGCAGTTCAATTGGTGTCAACTGCATTATTTCTACAGTGTAGATGCATCCAATGTGAGCATACAGGTTAACTGGTCATAGTCTTCCTGGTCAGATGCATTTTAATTTAAGTGATAGCATCTATTTTTATTTATAACTTATATATTACAATATACAAATAGTTTGCAGCTCAGTGTCCTCTTTTGTCTTCTTTTGTGGACAATGCATTTCTTCTTTTTAAACAATGAGCAAATAAATACCTTTTCTACATGTGGTTAAGTTGTTAGAGCACTCTCCAGAGATGAATATTGATTTGAACATCTTGGTAAATGGATACATGACAACATTTTCCAATACTCAAGCTGCTCTTTGACAACTGTAATTACCAAGTAAAGAGGAGAGAAAGCAGTCAGATCATATTGATGTACTTAACAAGCCAAATCCAATGCTTGCACTACTTCACTTACCCATCTAGTCAAAGGAAGAAGTTTTGTGATATATGAGCCAACTACAATCTAAATGTTTGCTCAGAGCTTCAGAAGAGGGGTGGGAATCATGTGGCTCTCTAGATGTTGGATTGCATGCCTCAGGTGTCCTACCCAGTCTCATAAGTAATGCTAGGAATTGCACCCCAACAATTCCCACCCTTGCTGATATGTTCTCTTCCTTGCCATGGTTTAAAAACACCCATAACAATTAATTTTAAAAGCTAACTATTAAAAAAACACAATGTTCATTGGGCCTATAAAGTGTATGCCAATTAGACAAAGAAAAACCTATATTTGGTCAGCAAGAACATTAGTTCAAATGGAATGTCTGATGTTCACCCACAAAGTTAACTGTGATCTTCATTGTTTTCACTGGTATCTGATGATGGGAACCTCTTTGTCCATGAGTTGACATGGACAATTGCAATTTTTGACTTCTTACCTTTTATAGAACATATGGCTTATGTGTACTTATGGAT